GTAACACCGACGCACTTATACGCATGTTCAGAGATCGAAAAAAAGTTTTTCATATTCAATTTGAAAGTTTCATCTCCAATTTCATTGTCCATGACAATGTCCGACATGAGTCAATATTTTTGATCCGACTCGAATTAGACTCTGGTATCAATTATCGTTCTCTTTTTTTTTTTGAGAAAATCAATTTTCTCAATCCTTTTTTCTTTCTTTCATGCCGCTGTTGGAAACAAAGGATATGTCCTTGGTATCTTTTTGTCCTTGATATTCTATATTTGGAACAACACAATTGTATGATAGTAGTTTTCCTATTCTTATGTATACAATCTATGACCTTTATATCGCGATTGAACCGATCGTTAACTCGCTATGCATCTTTTTTCAATGTCAATAAAGAAAAGTCAATGAAGTAGCAGATAAAATCGTGCGATGTATAACTTCTTATTCTACAAAGTTTTTCCACGCTCTCTTCGAGAACTTATAAATGAAAAAAAAATTCTCTAGAAAAAGAGAAGATTTTTTTTTTCGTGACTCGATCCGAGTCCGACGCTGACATACAACACAAATATCATACGTTTATTGAAGTCGTTTTGAGTGTGGCTGTGTGTATTCATTGCCCACACACTCTTTCTTTTGATGATTTCCATCCGTCAATAAATGGATATGAAGGACTTACGCATTTGTATTTTTTTTAACAATATTTAAAATAAAAAAAACTTAATTCGATGAATTTTATCAATGTTACTGATAAAATAAACAATATTCATAAAAAATAATTTACAGACGATTTATTACTATGTAAAGTTTAATTTACTATATCTAAATATAGAAATCATTAGAAATATGGAGAGATTACCGAGATTTATTCGATCTATTTAAACCATAGGATTAATTTGGAATTATTTATTAATACCAGATAATAAAATGGTGCAAAAACCTTTAAAAACGATATATTTTTTATGTTTTTCTATAATGCTAAGGACTTACCTCAAAACCAGATAGTTATTTTAATAGCTAATGAAGTTTTCTGTACCAAAATTTCATGAACTGTGAGGACAAGGATGCTAAAAACTCGGACAAAGTAGTTTTTAGGTCCAATAAACTATTTTTTAACAGTGTCATATTAAATTTTTGTAGTATATTTTTTTTATAAATTCCATTTCTTCACGGTTCTGATGATACATTTTACTTTTTAAAGAAAAGCTTCGGAAAATGTGGCGATCACTAACTTCATTGTCTTTAAAATAACATTTTTATAAAATAGCTTGTGGGATCTAAAAATTACTATTTCCGTTTTTTTTTAGAAATCTTACCGTCATTGTTCATCTATGAAATATCGGTAAAAGAAAACTTCATTGACTATTAAAATCATTATCTGAATTTGATTCTATTTTAATAATATTTAATTTTAGTCATTTAATGATGATAATCGAATTATTGTGTTTCAATTGATTTATTTGTTTACTTTTTGTTTTTCATAAATTTTCTAATTCAATATTGATTCAATTAAAATATAAAATTGTTTTATAGATTTATTTTTATAGAAAAAAAGAACCAAAAATATAGAAGAATTTGTTACAATTTTTGATATATCAATGATAAAGAAATTCTTTAATTAAAAACAACCTTTTTAGGATTTTTTTTTTTTTTTAAACATTCACGCTCAAATCTTATGCTTAGGCAAGAATTATATCGACACTCATATTCTTTCATTAAAATTATATTTCTTTTTGAAGAAAGATTAAGTATGATAAAAACATACAAGGTCAAGTTCACTATCAATTCCATTAAGTAGCATTGAGTGTTACTGAAGTGGAATATAATTAATAGTATAACTAAAAATAATAATCGATCTGACTTTTTGAAATGGATCAACAAGCATTTTACTCATAAAAATTTGTGCTAATTAATAATAGTCTTGAAGAAGTTGAAGTATCCACGAACACATGTTGCTCTTTTAGTTCAGTAAGTAATTAATTCGACTTATTTCTCATATTGTCTATTCAAACATAAGAATTTATTCAACTCTTGATCATTATCATAAAATACTTTTTATAATCTTCTAATAAATGACTGCAGTGATTATGAAGTTTCATTGTGTAGAAATCCTTTCTGTGAAAGAAATATACTTATAATAGTAATACTTTGAGTTGAGCTGAGACCTGTATGAGCGATTTTTGACTAATGGTTCGATTTTAAGATCTGTTACGTTATGAAATGAAAAGAAGGATTTCATAGAAGAATAATAATTCATAGTTAGTTTAGATTAGTGATCAGCGGAGTCGTACTTTTTGATTCCGATTCCGGGCAGAAATATTTTCGGACTCCAAAAAAACTCCGACTTTTCTTTGTAAATAGTTTACTGATATCTAATTCATTTCGCGTAAAAATTTTATGACCAGTATTTTTTTTTTTTTGTAAATTCTCAATAATATTTTCCGAGTATTATTTTCAAATCATCAGTAAAAAGATAAAACTATCAGTGACGAATTTGATATTCGATAAGTATTGTGTTCGCTCAGTTAACTTACTATTTGCTCAGTAAATTAACGAATTCTTTTACTATTAGTACTAAAGTATCAGTAAATGATTTTGTTTGTTCATTAAATGAATAAGTTTTCATCAGTATTCAATTGAATGCTGAACAAAAGAAATTAAATACTGAACTGTTTCTAAAATTAATTACCGAAGTTTCGAATTCTTTACTATGCTAAACATACTTTTCTACTGAGCAAAAAAAAATACTGAAGTGTGAGGGAAAACATGCTGAGCAATGATTAAAAAATATTGAACAATAATATAGATGCCATTCATTTCAATGTTTGTTATTCTGAAGGGTTAAAAATATAAGCAAATCAGTAAGAAATGGACAATTAATAGTATCAAAGTATATGTGTTTCTCGATGTTTTTTCTAAAACGACAAAAAAAGTACGAGTAAAAAAGTTTTAACAAAAATAACTTGAAAAATTAATAAAATATGGTAATCCAAAAATAAAATTTCTTGAGAAGATGACAACATCACATTCAAACGAATAGTAGATTTTTTTTCATTATACATTTGTAAACGATGATCGACATCAACACTATCTTTTGCAGAATCCACATGTATAATTACTGTGAAATGACGTCCCAACGTCCAAGATAGTTTCAATGACTAATAAAATTAAGGAACTTTCCTGAATTTTCCTTTACGCTGATGGTTAATTTGAACTTAATATAAGTACAGGACCGGGTAAAAATCATAATTTCTATTCCGTTTTATCTCTCTGCAGGACAGGATTGATGTTAGGACAGGACAAAAAAGAAAGACATGTTCGCTTCTTATCTTTGATATGAACATCGTGTGTCGTTCTTTTTTCGTAAAATTTATAAAACTTAAAGTTGCATATTTTTTCAATACAATATTACATGAATATCGGATTTCGGACTCCAGTGCAATTCACTAGTTTAGATGCATGACGAAGCTTGATCGAAAGTTTTCTTATTTAAATTTCCTCCTCTGTGTATATTTGACGCGCGTTTCGAAGATTTGAGAATGTGACATCTACCGAACAAAATCCTTTTTATTTTGATCAAAAGTTCGATCTTCTCGAAAATCACCTAACACTGGCCTATCTGAAAATGATTATTCAAGGGCACGACATAGCATTATGATACCCAATGGGAAATGAAATTGATGCGCCAAAATGTCTATCGAATGACTGATTAGGACTAGTGCTGACTTTATCTTTGTTCTTAGTAATTGTCTAGTTAAAAGGCACTGTCAATTGAATTATTCTACTCTAAAATTTGGAGTGATTTATCTCACAAAAGAAAACGATAGTAATTATCTAGGATCTGCTTACTATAACTCAACCGGTTAAGTATTTCGATGCATAGTTCAAGTCAAAATTTTAACGCTATTTATTTTTCTTATTTCATGATCGTTGGATAGAACTTATCATAATGAAAGAAGTTCAAGATGCTATTATTATCTTCCAATAAAAATAAAGCAGATTAAAAAATGTAAATACTTTAAAAAAATCTATTTTCTCACTCGGTACACGCCATGAATAAATCATATTTTAAATCTATTAGTTTTATCGTGAGAACTTTAATTTCATTCGAATATGTTTAATGTTTTTTTTTTCTAACAGTAAAAACCTTGTGATAGTATACTAACTACATTTTAGCATACATCGGCTCGCATGACTCCGGTGTGATTTATTTTTGCATACGAGGAAATCAATTAATAAAACGGAAGAACTATATGTCAGACTAGACTTCTATTTACAGCTGCAGTTATTAATAGGTGAGATAAAGATATCAATTCTATAAAGTTACCTTTAGAAAGCATTCTATCTGTTAAGATAATCAAAATGTGAAATGTTGTTCTATTCATTCTGATGTAAAACTTCAACAAAATTATAAAATTAAGACAAATAAAAATTCTTACCTTAATGACCGATAAAATCTAGATAATGAATAAAGGTAATCAGTTATCGATAGATCAAATATTCTAAATAGAATTTTTTTGGAATATGAATTTCATTTATTTTTAAAATGATATATTCTGGTTAAGAGTAGATCTCTCATCTTTTGTTTTGCATTTTCATTTGATTACACGATTCTCTTGAGTTTCGTGTCATTGCAACCGTTCACATCATGAATCAATTTTAACGTTCTCAAATAGGTAATAGCGTTGTTAAATAATATTTGTATGACCATTGAAGCACAATGCAACAACATTATTTCACAATATATCACGCCTATATTGACTTGTTATAGTTAATATTAATTTTTTTTCATTTCTTTTTGACATGTTTTCATATTTCTCTCAAACAAATCAGTCATGTGTAACCGTACAATTAATCAGAAATAGCAAGAAAAGATTCAAAGATATGTCTTTAATATTATGATTCATATATTTATTTAATTGAACAACTTTTTTTTTTTTTCTAGAATCTATATTTTTTCTGATATATATCATGCTCCATAAATTATTATTTCTTTTTTTAAGACTATGTATGAAGATAGAGGTTATGGCAGAAATTGGCTGTCAACGGAAAATAATGCAAGGTATTTAAGCAAAATATACGTTTGTTTTTCTAATTTGTTTTTCTAATTTTATAGACGTCTCAATCCGTATAGTCGAGTATATTCTACATTAGGTTGTCTTGTTGCTATTGGTTTTGTTTTGATTGTTATTATTGTTCTATCATTAATTCCTATTTATATATCTCTTAAACATTCAAATACTACTAATAATAATATTCGAACGTCAAGTAATTTTTTTTTCTTTTATTTAATTTATAAATAATTTCTTTTTAAAATTTAGAAATTTTTATAAATGATTATACTCTTCAAATTCAAGCTCCATTTGATAATTTCAATCCTCAAACAGTTCTTTCCCAAACGAATAATCGACAAAGGTTACAAGCAGCACTTACATCAATGATACAACAAGATTCTCTATTAAATGGTTCAGTTATTGAAATAAATACTTCATCAAGAAAATCTAATCGTCAACGTCGACAAACATCTGATTTACTTAATATAACATTTGATTTAAATATAACTAGTAATAAAGTTTGTTCATCAACATCATGTTTAAATGATTTTCAATCTCATGCTATTAATTTATTATCAAATTCAAATAAGACAACATCTAGAGTTCGTTATGAACTATTGAATTCAACACAAATCTATTGGTTATATTATCGATTACCACAAAAAATACAATCGAGTAAGATTTTCTATTTAACAACAACAACAACAAAAAAAAATGAAGTTATATTATTTTAGATGTATCATTGGTATATGTTGATCTTAAAACAATATCATCTTTATTAGATACATTAATGTTAATAGATAAAACTCAAAATTAATTATCAATTGAAAGTTAAACAACAATAAATTTAGTTGATTAAATATTTCATTATGTATTATCCAGATAAAGAAAATATTATTTACAAAAATTTCAATTTTTATGAAATAAGTATTCCTTTGATATATTATCAATCGATTATAATATACAATGTTATATATTATAAGAAATTAAAAGTAGAGTGGCTCTCAAAATTATTCAATCAGATTTATTTTCAACTTTTTTTTTACTGCCATCAACAATACTCATAAAAATCCTAATAGTGATTTGTATAGAGATCTTGGTGAAGAACTTGTTGGAAATAAAATTCTCTATACAAATTACTATTTGGATTCTTATTAATGTTGACGGATCAAGAAAAAAAAACGATTGAAAATAAACTCAGTTGAATAATTTTGGACGTAACTATATTTGTATATAGTTTCTTTTTTTTCAATAAATGAAAAATGCATTTTTTTGCATTGATTCATAGTTTGATATTAAACTTCTACTTGATAAAAATCAAAATCATTATTTTCTTATTCACTATACAAATAGGTAATGATTGTTAACAATTAAAATGATAAAGAGTCAATATAAAAGACATGAAAAAATCGCTAATGATGTCGTTTGGTTCATTAAAGAACAAAGACTCATTTTTATGAATAATACAATGTTAGAATAAAATATTGGTAGAATTTCATTGATTTATTTTCTCAAGCTTCAAATATTTTTCTTCACTGACAATTACGGTAAAGTTTTTAATTTTTTATTTGACTCTGGTCTTGATGAACGGTTACTATTGAAATTGAAACAAAATAATAAAAAATACTGTCTACTATGAAAATAGAAGTGTAGATATTCATTCTCAACAATTAGCAACTAATTATTCAAACATGAAAATCTTTTTTCGATGAATATCAACATTTATCTAATTCCGTTATATTATTGAAATCATACTTAGAACTTTTTCTATACGTTATTTTCAACAATGTATAAGAGAATTTTCCAGAATTTAGAGATTTTTTGCAATATATTTGATCATATAAAAAACAGGAATATCCAGGAAAACCTAGTTATATATAATATTGCAAACAATATCAGTAAAATGATTTCCAGTTGGCTAAAGTCTTTATCTTATACAATATAAATATTTAAAAGGATTAATTACTTTGACAATCTTGAAATTCACTCTCTTCTCGATTCGTTTATCTTCTTTTGGTATGATTCCGTTTCGTCAACAAGTTAATGCTCAAATGCTTAAGCACATAATGGGTATTCATCTTTTTTGAAAATGATAGAGCACCGTAAAGAAAAAAAACTCTACTACTGTTGATAGATAATGATCCAAACCAGTGGCGTAGCCAGGAATTTTTGAGTCATGGGCAATTCATCAGCCGAACTATTTTGAATTACGGGCAGCTGTTAGCTCGTTTTGACGAGCTTATCTTATTTTATTTCAAAAGAAGTGCTTCTTGTGGAGTATTGTTGCATATAATTTTAACAAAAATGGGAGTAAATGCTGTTGTGGTTGATGACTTTTTGGCTCCACAGGGATCGTCACCATCATCCGATCCCTTTATTCGAAAAAATGTCGTTGAGGACAATCACGTATTTGATGATTTGATTGTCCGCATTTAAAACAGCCGTTTTCCTTCTTATAAAAGCATTTAATTGTTGGATGATTTTTCCGATTGCAAATTAAACATGAAGCTGATTTCGGTATTTTCTGTTCTGGATAATATTTTTGATTTTGTTTAAGATTAAAAAAATTGTTTTGTTTTGGATATATTCGATTATTTGTTAATGATGGTAGTTGCTGATGTTGTTTTTTATCGTAATG